TGCCACTCTTGTAGATCTATGTTATTGACCCCAGTGTCACTCTTGTAGATCTATGTTATTGACCTCAGTGTCACTCTTGTAGATCTATGTTATTGACCCCAGTGTCACTCTTGTAGATCTATGTTATTGACCCCAGTGTCACTTGTAGATCTATGTTATTGACCTCAGTGTCACTCTTGTAGATCTATGTTATTGACCTCAGTGTCACTCTTGTAGATCTATGTTATTGACCTCAGTGTCCCTCTTGTAGATCTATGTTATTGACCCCAGTGCCACTCTTGTAGATCTATGTTATTGACCCCAGTGTCACTCTTGTAGATCTATATTATTGACCCCAGTGTCACTCTTGTAGATCTACATTATTGACCCCAGTGCCACTCTTGTAGGTCTATGTTATTGACCCCAGTGTCACTCTTGTAGGTCTATGTTATTGACCCCAGTGTCACTCTTGTAGGTCTATGTTATTGACCCCAGTGCCACTCTTGTAGATCTATGTTATTGACCCCAGTGTCACTCTTGTAGATCTATGTTATTGACCTCAGTGTCACTCTTGTAGATCTATGTTATTGACCCTAGTGTCACTCTTGTAGATCTATGTTATTGACCCCAGTGTCACTCTTGTAGATCTATGTTATTGACCCCAGTGTCACTCTTGTAGATCTATGTTATTGACCCCAGTGCCACTCTTGTAGATCTATGTTATTGACCCCAGTGTCACTCTTGTAGATCTATGTTATTGACCAGTGTCACTCTTGTAGATCTATGTTATTGACACCAGTGTCACTCTTGTAGATCTATGTTATTGACACCCAGTGTCACTCTTGTAGATCTATGTTATTGACCCCAGTGCCACTCTTGTAGATCTATGTTATTGACCCCAGTGCCACTCTTGTAGATCTATGTTATTGACCCCAGTGCCACTCTTGTAGATCTATGTTATTGACCCCAGTGCCACTCTTGTAGATCTATGTTATTGACCCCAGTGCCACTCTTGTAGATCTATGTTATTGACCCCAGTGTCACTCTTGTAGATCTACATTATTGACCCCAGTGTCACTCTTGTAGATCTATGTTATTGACCCCAGTGCCACTCTTGTAGATCTATGTTATTGACCCCAGTGCCACTCTTGTAGATCTATATTATTGATCCCAGTGCCACTCTTGTAGATCTATGTTATTGACCCCAGTGCCACTCTTGTAGATCTATGTTATTGACCCCAGTGCCACTCTTGTAGATCTATGTTATTGACCCCAGTGCCACTCTTGTAGATCTACATTATTGACCCCAGTGCCACTCTTGTAGGTCTATGTTATTGAACCCAGTGTTACTCTTGTAGGTCTATGTTATTGACCCCAGTGCCACTCTTGTAGATCTATGTTATTGACCCCAGTGTCACTCTTGTAGATCTACATTATTGACCCCAGTGCCACTCTTGTAGATCTATGTTATTGACCCCAGTGTCACTCTTGTAGATCTACATTATTGACCCCAGTGCCACTCTTGTAGATCTATGTTATTGACCCCAGTGTCACTCTTGTAGATCTATGTTATTGACCTCAGTGTCACTCTTGTAGATCTATGTTATTGACCCCAGTGTCACTCTTGTAGATCTATGTTATTGACCCCAGTGTCACTTGTAGATCTATGTTATTGACCTCAGTGTCACTCCTGTAGATCTATGTTATTGACCTCAGTGTCACTCTTGTAGATCTATGTTATTGACCTCAGTGTCCCTCTTGTAGATCTATGTTATTGACCCCAGTGCCACTCTTGTAGATCTATGTTATTGACCCCAGTGTCACTCTTGTAGATCTATTATTGACCCCAGTGTCACTCTTGTAGATCTACATTATTGACCCAGTGCCACTCTTGTAGGTCTATGTTATTGACCCCAGTGTCACTCTTGTAGGTCTATGTTATTGACCCCAGTGTCACTCTTGTAGGTCTATGTTATTGACCCCAGTGCCACTCTTGTAGATCTATGTTATTGACCCCTGTGTCACTCTTGTAGATCTATGTTATTGACCTCAGTGTCACTCTTGTAGATCTATGTTATTGACCCCAGTGTCACTCTTGTAGATCTATGTTATTGACCCCAGTGTCACTCTTGTAGATCTATGTTATTGACCCCAGTGTCACTCTTGTAGATCTATGTTATTGACCCCAGTGCCACTCTTGTAGATCTATGTTATTGACCCCAGTGTCACTCTTGTAGATCTATGTTATTGACCAGTGTCACTCTTGTAGATCTATGTTATTGACACCAGTGTCACTCTTGTAGATCTATGTTATTGACCCCAGTGTCACTCTTGTAGATCTATGTTATTGACCCCAGTGCCACTCTTGTAGATCTATGTTATTGACCCCAGTGCCACTCTTGTAGATCTATGTTATTGACCCCAGTGCCACTCTTGTAGATCTATGTTATTGACCCCAGTGCCACTCTTGTAGATCTATGTTATTGACCCCAGTGCCACTCTTGTAGATCTATGTTATTGACCCCAGTGTCACTCTTGTAGATCTACATTATTGACCCCAGTGTCACTCTTGTAGATCTATGTTATTGACCCCAGTGCCACTCTTGTAGATCTATGTTATTGACCCCAGTGCCACTCTTGTAGATCTATATTATTGGTCCCAGTGCCACTCTTGTAGATCTATGTTATTGACCCCAGTGCCACTCTTGTAGATCTTGTTATTGACCCCAGTGCCACTCTTGTAGATCTATGTTATTGACCCCAGTGCCACTCTTGTAGATCTATGTTATTGACCCCAGTGCCACTCTTGTAGATCTATGTTATTGACCCCAGTGCCACTCTTGTAGATCTATGTTATTGACCCAGTGCCACTCTTGTAGATCTATGTTATTGACCCCAGTGCCACTCTTGTAGATCTATGTTATTGACCCCAGTGCCACTCTTGTAGATCTATGGTATTGACCCCAGTGCCACTCTTGTAGATCTATGTTATTGACCCCAGTGCCACTCTTGTAGATCTATGTTATTGACCCCAGTGCCACTCTTGTAGATCTATGTTATTGACCCCAGTGCCACTCTTGTAGATCTATGTTATTGACCCCAGTGCCACTCTTGTAGATCTATGTTATTGACCCCAGTGCCACTCTTGTAGATCTATGTTATTGACCCCAGTGCCACTCTTGTAGATCTATGTTATTGACCCCAGTGCCACTCTTGTAGATCTATGTTATTGACCCCAGTGTCACTCTTGTAGATCTATGTTATTGACCTCAGTGTCACTCTTGTAGATCTATGTTATTGACCCCAGTGTCACTCTTGTAGATCTATGTTATTGACCCCAGTGTCACTCTTGTAGATCTATGTTATTGACCCCAGTGCCACTCTTGTAGATCTATGTTATTGACCCCAGTGCCACTCTTGTAGATCTATGTTATTGACCCCAGTGTCACTCTTGTAGATCTATGTTATTGACCCCAGTGCCACTCTTGTAGATCTATGTTATTGACCCCAGTGCCACTCTTGTAGATCTTGTTATTGACCCCAGTGCCACTCTTGTAGATCTATGTTATTGACCCCAGTGTCACTTGTAGATCTATGTTATTGACCCCAGTGCCACTCTTGTAGATCTATGTTATTGACCCCAGTGTCACTCTTGTAGATCTATGTCTTAGGAACACCACCCTCACATATAGATCTATATCTTAAGAACACCACCCTCACATATAGATCTTTGTCTTAAGAACATCACCCTCACATATAGATCTTTGTCTTAAGAACATCACCCACACATATAGATCTATGTCTTAAGAACACCACCCTCACATATAGATCTATGTCTTAAGAACACCACCCTCACATATAGATCTTTGTCTTAAGAACACCACCCTCACATATAGATCTATGTCTTAAGAACACCACCCTCACATATAGATCTTTGTCTTAAGAACACCACCCTCACATATAGATCTATGTCTTAAGAACACCTCCCTCACATATAGATCTTTGTCTTAAGAACACCACCCACACATATAGATCTATGTCTTAAGAACACCACCCTCACATATAGATCTGTCTTAAGAACACCACCCTCACATATAGATCTATGTCTTAAGAACACCACCCTCACATATAGATCTTTGTCTTAAGAACACAACCCTCACATATAGATCTATGTCTTAAGAACACCACCCTCACATATAGATGTATGTCTTAAGAACACCACCCTCACATATAGATCTTTGTCTTAAGACCACCACCCTCACATATAGATGTATGTTTTAAGAACACCACCCTCACATATAGATCTATGTCTTAAGAACACCACCCTCACATATAGATCTATGTCTTAAGAACACCACCCTCACATATAAATCTATGTCTTAAGAACACCACCCTCACATATAAATCTATGTCTTAAGAACACCACCCTCACATATAAATCTATGTCTTAAGAACACCACCCTCACATATAAATCTATGTCTTAAGAACACCACCCTCACATATAGATCTGTCTTAAGAACACCACCCTCACATATAAATCTATGTCTTAAGAACACCTCCCTCACATATAAATCTATGTCTTAAGAACACCACCCTCACATATAAATCTATGTCTTAAGAACACCACCCTCACATATAAATCTATGTCTTAAGAACACCACCCTCACATATAGATCTGTCTTAAGAACACCAACTTTACATATGCTGTCAGTAGTAAATTTTGGTGTAGACAACATAAAACAAATCCTACACCTTGCAGTGCATGATGAGAAAAACAAACATCTGACCTTGTGTTTGAGGTGTTTTCTAGGATGTTTTAAATTACTTTTTCTTAGTATCAATTGATTAACTAAATGTCATACTATTAAAATGAATAATTCACTAGATTTCAGGACCAGAAGTATTTAAAATATTCACATTTTAAAAAAATTATTGAAAGAGGGAAAGGCCTCCTTTTCCTATCTCATCTTTTTTATGGATTTTTACTAAGTTTATTTCAATTTTTGTGATGCCCTAAACCATGATAATCATTCCTGGTTATTTTTTGTTAGGTGAGAAATTGTTTGTGATGATGGATTCAAGACAGAGTGAAGGTGTAATATACTACAGTCCTGGGAACATGATGACGGATTCAAGACAGAGTGAAGGTGTAATATACTAGTGTCCCAGGAACATGATGATGGATTCAAGACAGAGTGAAGGTGTAATATACTAGTGTCCCAGGAACATGATGATGGATTCAAGATAGAGTGAAGGTGTAATATACTAGTGTCCAGGAACATGATGATGGATTCAAGATAGAGTGAAGGTGTAATATACTAGTGTCCCAGGAACATGATGATGGATTCAAGATAGAGTGAAGGTGTAATATACTAGTGTCCCAGGAACATGATGATGGATTCAAGATAGAGTGAAGGTGTAATATACTAGTGTCCCAGGAACATGATGATGGATTCAAGATAGAGTGAAGGTGTAATATACTAGTGTCCGAACATGATGATGGATCAGAAAGTGAAGTGATATACTAGTGTCCCAGGAACATGATGATGGATTCAAGACAGAGTGAAGATGTAATATACTAGAGTCCCAGGAACATGATTAATGAACACATGATACCTTTAGTTGCTCCAATAAATACTCTGTTTACTTTTTATCATTTTCAAATTAGAATTTGTTGAAATTTGTTTAAAAGGAATAAAATTACTAACTTTTGTGGACTTGCACTAGAGCAAGAAAGCTAAAGATATATTCTAAAGAAAAAATACAATTAGCTTAATATTGGACTCAAAGTGAGTAAAATTGCTAATGCATAAATTGTGTTAAGATTACCAACTTTGTGCTTCTGTAATTCTATAACTGTGTCATTTTGTTTTTTTTTTTGGTGTCATTACATTAAGAAAAAGATTCTCTACTATTTCTGAAGAAAAGCATTTTTCATGGAAAAATTCTTACACTGTAAGAACTTTTAATTTTGTGGTGCTGATAGTGAAAGTGTTAAGTTATTGTTCACTATGTCTAAAATACTTGAAAAAGAAAGTGTTCCAGCAACACACATTACAGTTGATGCAGAAGACAAACTACATCAATATTCACATTCTTCACAAAAATCTCAGTGTGAATCATTGATAACAGTTAATGAAGACAAAAAAACTGTTTCGTGTTTATTGTGTTTAAAAGAATTTTCTAAAAAACAATATTTAATGAAACACATGAGAATTCATACTGGAGAGAAACCACATCAATGTTCAGAATGTCTGAAAGAGTTTACCAGTAAATCTAATTTAGTACATCACATGAGAATTCATACTGGAGAGAAACCACATCAATGTTCAGAATGTCTGAAAGAGTTTGCCAGTAAATCTAATTTAGTACATCACATGAGAATTCATACTGGAGAGAAACCACATCATTGTTCAGAATGTCTGAAAGAGTTTACCAGTAAATCTAATTTAGTACATCACATGAGAATTCATACTGGAGAGAAACCACATCAATGTTCAGAATGTCTGAAAGAGTTTACCAGTAAATCTAATTTAGTACAGCACATGAGAATTCATACTGGAGAGAAACCACATCAATGTTCAGAATGTCTGAAAGAGTTTACCAGTAAATCTAATTTAGTACAGCACATGAGAATTCATACTGGAGAGAAACCACATCAATGTTCAGAGTGTCTTAAAATGTTTTCATATCAATCTAGTTTAGCAGAACACATGAGAAGTCATACTGGGGAGAAACCATATCAATGTTCCGAGTGTCTAAAAGAGTTTTCATATAAGTCTAATTTAGTACCACACATGAGAATTCATACTGGAGAGAAACCATATCAATGTTCAGAGTGTTTGAAAGAATATTCAAAAAAAATTGGTTTAGTTCAGCACATGAGAAGTCATACTAGAGAGAAACCACATCAAGTGTTCAGAGTGTCTAAAAGAATTTTCAGATAAATCTAGTTTAGTAAGACACATGAGAATTCATACTGGAAAGAAACCATATCAATGTTCAGAGTGTCTAAAAGGGTTTGTAGGTAAATCTAGTTTAGTCAAACACATGAGAATTCATACTGGAGAGAAACCATATCAATGTTCAGAGTGTTTAAAACAGTTTTCACAAAAACCTCATTTAGTAGAGCACATAAAATTCATACTAGAGAGAAACCATATCAATGTTCAGTATGTCTGAGAAAGTTTTCATATAAATATAGTTTAGTCAAACACATGAGAATTCATACTGGAGAGAAACCATATCAATGTTCGGAGTGTTTAAAACAGTTTTCAGATAAATCTAATTTAGTGAAACACCTCAGACTTCATAATCTTCAGAAATTATGTTAGTGTTCAGTAACTAAAAGTTTTATCTCAAGAAACAAATTTATTATAAACAAACACCAAGTTATATGAGAGGGAAATATTACCAATAGACAGTGTAATCAGAAGACATTATATGTGATAGTAACATCATAATATGAGATAGCAACATTATGTGATAGTAACATCATAATATGTGATAGCAACATTATGTGATAGTAACATCATAATATGTGATAACATCATAATATGTGATAGCAGCATCATAATATGTGATAACATCATAATATGTGGTAACAACATAATATGTGATAGCAACATTATAATGTGATAACATCATAATATGTGATAGCAACATTATAATGTGATAACAACATAATATGTGATAACAACATAATATGTGATAGCAACATCATAATATGTGATAGCAACATTATAATGTGATAACAACATAATATGTGATAGCAACATCATAATATGTGACAGCAACATCATAATGTGATAACATAATATGTGATAGCAACATCATAATATGTGATAGCAACATCATAATGTGATAACATCATAATATGTGATAGCAACATCATAATATGTGATAGCAACATCATAATATGTGATAGCAACATCATAATATGTGATAGCAACATCATAATATGTGACAGCAACATCATAATGTGATAACATAATATGTGATAGCAACATCATAATATGTGATAGCAACATCATAATATGTGATAACATCATAATATGTGATAGCAGCATCATAATATGTGACAGCAGCATCATAATATGTGATAGCAACATCATAATATGTGATAGCAACATCATAATATGTGACAGCAACATCATAATGTGATAACATAATATGTGACAGCAACATCATAATATGTGATAGCAACATTATGATATGTGATAACAACATAATATGTGATAACATAATATGTGATAGCAACATCATAATATGTGATAACATATGTGATAGCAACATCATAATATGTGGTAACAACATAATATGTGACAGCAGCATCATAATATGTGATAGCAACATCATAATATGTGGTAACAACATAATATGTGATAGCAACATCATATTATGTGGTAACATCATAATATGTGATAGCAACATCATAATATGTGATAGCAACATCATAATATGTGGTAACAACATCATAATATGTGATAACAACATCATAATATGTGATAACAACATCATAATATGTGACAGCAACATCATAATATGTGATAGCAACATCATAATATGTGGTAACATCATAATATGTGATAACAACATCATAATATGTGATAACAACATCATAATATGTGGTAACATCATAATATGTGATAACAACATCATAAATGTGACAGAACATCTTATGTGATAGCAAATCATAAAAATGTGTAACAACTTTATATGTGATAGCAACATCATAATAGTGATAGCAAATATAATATGTGATACAACATCATAATATGTGATAGCAAATCATATATGTAGTAAAACATTAATATGTGTAACAACATCATAATATGTACAGCAATTTTAATATGTTGATAGCAACATTCATATATGTGATAGAAATCATAATATGTGATACAACGATCCATAATGTGACAGCAACATCTAATTGTGATAAACATCCTATCATGTGATAGCAACATATAGTATGTGATAGCACATTATAACATGTGATAAAACATCATATATGTGATAGCAACATCATATATGTGATAACAACATCATAATGTGATAACAAATCATAAATGTGATAGCAACATCATATATGTGAATTTGCAACACATAATATTACGCAACATCATAATATGTGATAACAACATCATAATATGTGATAGCAACATCATAATATGTGATAGCAACATCATAATATGTGATAGCAACATCATAATATGTGATAGCAACATGTATGATAATTACTTGGAGATAGAAATGAGTCTGTCTTTTAAATGTCTAAGTATTTATTTATGCAAATTTAAATTAGCATTAAATATTAGTATTCTTTCAAGAAACTTTTATTTTTATTTTTTCCCTCTTCTTAATTTAGCAATATTTAGTCAAGAAAACTTTTCATTGTGTCATTAATGTATTCCTAAAAGCTTTTGCTATTTGATGTCACTTGACATTAGGTGTTTTGATGCCTGTGACGAGCCTTTGATCCAAGAAACTTGCATTACCTTCCTTTTCTCTGATTGAAAATAGTTGTCTGCACTTTTCCTGGCACTATATGACCCTAGTTAGTTTACTCCTTCCTCAATAATATAAAATAAATGTATTAATATTTGTAGAATTACCGACAAAATCCAAGCACTATGAACCAGTCAATGCAGGGGTTTACACTGCACCTTGTGGAGGCTGTGACAGGATTTATGTAGGTGAAACAGCAAGGAACTTCGAAAGACGCCTCAGTGAACACATTAATGCATGTAGGAATGATGACTTGAACAATGTCTCAGTACAACATTGAAATTCCATCAATCATCTCATGAAATACAAGGACACCCGGTTAGTGATCAAAGAACCTAATTTTGCAAACGCAAGTGCCTTGAATAAGCATTAATCGCCGTTTCTAACTCAGTTAAACAAAACAAAGGCAGCTTCATCTCTGAGGTTTTAGCAAAAATCCTGAAAACAATAAACCCAGCCATCACATAGTCTCTGCTGTTGATACTACACAAGCACATTACAGAGGAGGAACACTGAAACAGACCTTCTCGAATCCAACCACCAATAC